GATTTGGCAAGGTCTCGCGCAATGAAGAAAAGCCGGGCTCCTTTAGCAGTTAATTGTTCTGAGACATATATAGGGGTGCCTGTGTTTTTGGTGAAGCCTAAATGTCTGGCGCAAAGTTTTTCTTTGTGTTTTGCGTTATGTGTTTTAGTCATCTTCAAGATTTCGGTCTTCAAAATAGTTGATACAGTTTCAACAATAATTGGCGAGTTGCCCTTTACCTCTTTTTTCCCACGTACCCTGTAAATGTCCCTGATATCTGATTTTTCTATTTTACAGTTTATCGATTTAGACAAAGAGAAAACCATGTTTAGTAAATCTTCTTTCGTTTCTCTAGGAACATTTTTTATCTCTATGTTTGTTTTGCGAGATCCTCGTTGAATGTCCTCAATTTTGTTTTCCAATAAGTTAATATATTCTTTATCCTTCTTAGCCTGTTCCTGTAATTCCTGTATTTTTTTCTTAAATTCTTCATTTTGTTCTGTAAGGAAGGACATGGAGTTCTCAATGTTTAAATTGGTTTGCTTAATATCCATAAGCGCCGGAGTGATCTTTTTGAGTTCATTTTCTTGATTAAACATTGATTGAATCTTTAATTTTATTTCATTCTTAAAGTCACATAAATCACTCATAGTGACCGACTCATTCTCCCTTTTTCTCTTTGTACGTTGAGATGTGTTGTTTGGGGGTGTAGTAAGAAGACACTCCGCATCTTGTTCAGCTGCTATGTTTGGTTCATAGGTTACTAGGATAATATGACGGCAAAGCGGTCTTAGTAGTGTGTAAGCAAAGCAAGCGAAAGAGACAGTAAAGCGGTAGGCGCTAAGGTGGTCACTTCTGAAGGACGTGTAAACCTTGGGGGCGGGTCCAACTCAGCAAATAGCGTAACAGGGCGGGCGGAGCCTCCAAGAGTTGCGAAGATGGTGGAGGCTGCGCGTGCGCTGACTTGTTCACGTAAAAATGTGTCGTGGTAATACTAGGACAGCAGCGCTCACCTGTATGGGGCGTCCGTAAACTTTTTCTGCTCAATTCGAATATTTTTCACTGTCGACGCTTGGCAATGGAAGTACCAGGCGGTCAGGAAAGCAACGAATATTGCGTTTTAGTCACTGATCTTCTTATGTCTATGCACTCCTATTTTTAGGTCGTGTATTTTTTCACTTTAAAAACTCAAATAAATTTTAATTTATAGAAATATGTGTACACGTCTAATAGCTTTTGCGTCCAGGAGGGAAGAGAAAATGTATTCTATAATTATTAATATGTAGGATATTTGGGACTTAAATATATTTTTATTTGATGGTCGATATTCAATAAAATCTATAAATTAGAGCTCCCAAATCATGTCTTCGAGCGTTTTTGCCTAAACATGCATCGGGACAGTAATTATTGCTGATTAAATAAATAAGCTATCTTAAATCCGCTTTGAGCTTATTTGAGAAGAAAAATTTCGCGTTTTTTTGTAATACGCCTCTTGACAAAATGGACCAGTATTGGACATATTTTTTTCTTTACTAACTTTAAATCTTTCACCCTAATCTCGTCCAAACCTGGTGCTTTTTTATGGTGCAATTTATAAATTACTTCTTCTATGTAACATGATTTCACTCTCTTAAACCTAAAAGACACCTCGCTCTGTGTAACATAGATTTTTCTATCTAAAAAAATTAAATTACAAGTATGCTTAATGTCTAATATTTCTTTGATAAATGTTTTAGAAAATTTTGTGCAATCGTTGTATAAACTATCGTTTCTACCCAAGTACGGTACGACTTTCCATTGACATCCGTCGAGTTGGGAGTTGATATTTATTTTTACAGAAAGGTTACATTATTATAAGCACACACGCAAAGTTTCAACATGGAGAAACGCGTACTTTTTGAAAAAAAAATTATTAAAAATCAATTATTTTTGCAATATTTATGTCAGTTCCTACCGTAAAACTGACGCTATTTTGTATTATAAATGCAAACATGAAAAAATATCGATATATTAGAAATCGATTTTTTGTAAACGAATACGTAATATGATTAGAATCGATTTAAAAATCGATCTTTTTCGGAAAGAATCGATATCCAGTAAAATATCCAGGCAGTCCAGTAAAATAGCTATTACAATTGTCAGTTAGGTTTGTAATTAGAAATTGAGTATCGACCAATGCCGCTGATCTGAACCTTAAGGCGACGTTTATCGAGCATTTTATTTGTCTACCTAAAGTTTCTACTGTTTTTGAAGTGTGAGCATATCAATGAGAGCTAATAATTTTACGCTCACCAGATGTCGCTAGTTGTTGTTGTTATTTCTGGTGGTAGGCTGATCTTCTACAATTCAGAGGCTCAGCCGCCAGCCTGGCAAAAATACCGCCAAATGACACAAGTCGTGAACGGTATTAAAATAGGTGAAACTTTTTTTGAGAGTAATGATCTGGACAGGTGGAAAGCTGATGATCATAAGAAACGGTTGCGGCGCGGATGTTTCTTGGTACTTGGTTATCGAAACTAGCAGGATCTGAAGCAATGTTGCCCCATTGGAAGCCCAATTAATGTGCAAGCCACTCGTGAAAATCTGCTGTATCATCTTACGAAAAAACCTGGAATAGCTCCACCATGCCTTTGGCGCCTGGAGAAAAGGCCTGGTGGCGATTTCCAGGAGGATGATCATCGATGCTGTGACTCTGTTTACGTCCTTAGGTTGTGTGTGGTGTCTCGTCCAAGTCCATACTAACGATGACAATGACAATACAAAATACCGTCAGTTTTACCGTAGGAATTGATATAAATATTGCAAAAATAATTGATTTTCAATATTTTTTTTCTCAAAAAGTACGCGTCTCCGAATGTCGAAACTTTGTGGCTGTGCTTACAATAATGTAACCTTTCTGTAAAAAAATATCCACCCCCAACTTGACCGTTTTCAATGGGGATTGGCATAAATATTGCAAAAATAATTGATTTTCAATAATTTTTTTCTCCAAAAGTACGCATTTCATGTTGAAACTTTGCGTGTGTGCTTATAATAATGTAACCTTTCTGTTAAAAAAAAAATATCAACCCCCAACTCGACGGACGTCAATGGAAAGCTAAGCCCCCAAGTACTTCTTAACTATTTAATCCAAATCTGCCTTAGTTCTCCAAAACCATGTATTAATATTTGACCATATTTTTCTGCTATATGCTATATTGCTGCTTATAATTTTATTTACTCTATTTCTAAATCTCGTGTGCAGTGGTGCCTCGCATAAAGAACGCCTCGCACAGCGAACGCTGCACACAGCGAACTTCCTATTCGTTCATTTCATGATTCATACAACGAACTTCGCTTCACATAACGAAGTTGCCCGAGCTTCCACGATCGCTGCCGATGTATTGCATCCTCCCGCGCAGGCACTGCAGTCGTTAGTCACTGCGCACATCATCACAGTGGCCCAAAGGTTAGAATTAGAGAAAGAGGAAGAGGATGTAGAGGAGCTTATTAAGGAACAAGAAGAAGAGCTGACAACTGAAGAGCTCCAAGCACTTCTGGTCCAGCAACAGGACAATGCTCAAAGGGAAGCGTCATCTGATAACGAGGAGCAACAATCAAACAATCAACCAATCCCAACTGCTGACATCAAGAACATCCTGGTCAAATGGAAAGCAGTTCAGGAGTTTACCAATGCCCACTATCCGGATTCAGCTGAAGCAAACAGGATCAACGATCTTTACTCTGATACTCTTGTCCGTTATTTCCGGCAGATGTTGAAGAAAAGAGAAAAACAAACGACTTTTGGCAGGTTTTTCATGAAACCATCGCCCAAAAAGCAGCAAATGTATGAAGATGTGCAAGATTCGGTAGACTCTACTTAGTCTGTCTTAAAATGAAAAAATGTGTTTTTTTTTAAAAAAGAAATTATGTTTTTAGATGTATGTATCTAAATAAAATAATAACAAAAAATTTATCTTTTTTTATGTCATCTTAGCATATTTTATGCTACAGAACGAATTTTTTTAACATGTATTGTTATAGGAAAACGCGTTTCACATAACGAACTTTTCGCATAACAAACTTGCTCCTGGAACGAATTAAGTTCGTTGTGTGAGGCACCACTGTATTCTAAACGCTTATTCATATATTTTGGTGACGCTTTCCACGCTCTAAATAAAGAATCCCTTTATAATATTAAATTATTCAACTTACCGTCTACCCATTGCTGCGTTAATAGTTTACTACTTACTGCAATATTGACCTTACTTTCATTATACACCAAACGTAACTTCTCATATATTAACATTGGGCAAGATAAATCTAAAAGCTGGGACTAATCATATTCGTCCAACTTTACCCTAGACAATATATCACTAATCACTTGTTTAAATTTATTTACCGTTTTTACCATATTCACTTCGCTTTGCAATCTTGAGACACCAAACGTAATGCCAACAATATGATGATCGGATACATGATAGTCGATTACGTAGGTAACAGATGTAGTGTTAGCCGGCCTCGCTCGCACTCACAGATGGTCAATGCATGACCGCTCGTGCCGTCCGTTGACAACCGCTTCTCGTGTTATCTCTGAACTAGGTACTGCACAGTGTAGGCCGTGTTCACACAAAGTTAGTTTATAATTTGAAATAATTTGATTACACTAACCTAGTCAGGTCATAAATTCTGTCACATGTTTAATATAAAATATTTTTTTTAAAAAGTTGTCGTGGAGGCAGTTTACAAACATAAATTGCACAAGGACAAACATCCAGACCCGGAACAATTATTTGTAGGCCATATAAATACTTGTTCCGTGCGGGATTCGAACCCGCGGCCCCCAGCGCAACAATTGATTGCTAAGCCACTGCGCCACGGAGCCGTCTAATAATAAAATAATTGAAATAAGTTTATTCATTATGTAATTTAATGTATGTGTATAAAATTTATATACCAAAATGAACTTTACAAACAAAACATAGATTCTTATGACACTAAAGTTTATTCAAAATGACCTCCGTGATTTTGAATACAGGCCTTCATCTGCGCGGCCAGTCGTCTATCGCAGCACGAACGAGGTCCATGTCAATATCGGCGGCTGCCTTAATCAAGGATGTCTTGAGTGACTCCAAATTGGGATGAAGCTTTTCCTCCAAGTGTTGCCATATCTTGTAGTCTAACGGATTCAAATCTGGACTGGAGGAGGGCCAGTCTTCGTGCCGGATGAAGTCGATTTCACGCGCCGCCAGCCAGTCTTGTGTGCTCTTCGCTCTATGAGCTGGCGCCGAATCTTGCTGGAATACCCAGTGCCTGTTATTGAACATGGTATGAGAAACAGGTTCCACAAGATTCGTCAAGACTGTATTTTGATACACAACTGCATTCGTTTTTACACCTTTCTCACAAAAATGTACCTCTGTTAAGCCCCAATAAGAAACTCCCAACCATACCATGAGCGAGGATGGAAAATGACCTCGTTGGAACGCGGAATACGGTTGCTCGCTTCTTCACTACTGTGTGCGTACACCTTATCATTTTGTTTGTTGTAGCTCTCTTCTACGGTAAACATTTTTTCATACAAAAAAAGAATTTCCCGATATTTTTTCCCGCGTACCGCTTCAACAAAGCGCGGCATCTCTTCAGTCTCAGGTCCATTAGACGAGCATTCAAACGATGTCCTGTTTTTCTTCGATATTCCCGAAGCCCTAAGTCTTCATTTAACACCCTTTTCACCGTGGTTCTGCTTAACCCCATCTGAAGGGCCAACATTTTCTGCTTACGTTTGGGATTTCTTTGAATTCGCGCCTTCACAGCTTTTATCACTTCTGGAGTCCTAACAGACCGAGGGCGATCACTTCTTGACCTGTCATCTACACTAGAGTCTTCATTGTATCGTTTGATGGTACGATAAACGAATCTTTTGGTTATATTCAAAATTTTCAGTATGTCAAAAATTTGAATTGGCGCGTAACCGCAACGATGCAACGCAATAACTGCAACACGGTCTTCTTTAAGCGTCCACTCCATATTTAAAAATGAGTAAAATTCTAAAAAGTATACAGTTTTATTTTCATGAACAATTCGAAATTCGAATTCAAAAAACTTTTTTGTGGCCAGCATACTAAAAGAAAAGTTTCTACTGTGTGATAATACTTATGACCTGACTAGGTATTGTTATGAATATCAATGTTCATGTCTCCTATGACAATAATATCTTCTTGAGGCCATATTTTTTTTCTTTATTAGTGTATTTATGCACTCAATAAAATAAAGTTTATATTTCGCAGGTGGTATAGATGCAGGGAATATGAAAGTCCTTTTTCCGATCGTCAAATTTCCATGAATTAATTCAGCCACGTGAGTGTTGATTGTTTGCGAAGAAAAGTTTAGATATTCCTTTATATAAATAAGTAGCCCTCCTCCTCTTGAAATTTCCCTTATATTAGCACGATGTATATATTCATTTATATTATAAAGACCTAGTTCTTCTCTCTTAATATTTATCTCACTTAGTACTATCATAACAATATATGTAAATAAATAACAATTACACTGGTGTGTGTAATTGTGTCTTTCACAATTACATTGGTGTGGATTGTAGCAGGAACGCGTTGCGGTGTGGTCGAACTGTAATTGCTCTATAATGAATGTATGGTGCGTTACGCTACCTTATTACTGATAATGATTAATTGCGTTAGTAAGAGAGCAAGTTGAACATCCGTTCTCAGACTTTTGCCATTTTTAACAATTAACGCTAAGAGATCAGAATTGGGATCTCCTGTTTTATTTCCTACCAGCTTTTTACCCGCGGCTTCGCTCGCGTGGTCTTCAATTGAGTAACATCATTAAATGCTATACCATATCAAATTTAGCAAAATCTGATCACTTTAAGAGTCATTTCGGTGTCTGTGTATCTATGTCAGTTTGACAGAGAATTTTTTTGAATTCCCAAAGACTATTGGACCTAGATTATTGAGGAACTCGTGAATAAATAAGATTTATAGAATCGCATTAATATCATATGTCTAGAAAAATCACGTAAAATTTCCCATAACAGATTCATTTGTCCACAAAGGACTCGTACACGTTTTGCTCCCTTGCCGTGATAAAATCTCACGGTGAGCTACACGGCTCTCATATTTGTTTAAATAAAATTCATAAAAAATGAAGCAAAGCTTTTTTATGATTGTTGACCATATCTACCTAGTAATTAGAAACCCAACGTTGCCACGAACTATTCCATCAAATAGAGGTAAAATCAAACAGAGCACTTCATTTCCAATTATTTACATCAGATAACGTGATAACATATAAAGTTGGTAAAATGAAATGACAGACACCCAATATATTCAACTAAAGAGTTTCTCTCCTAATCTCAGTTTTGTGTATACAGTACTGGATACCGTGCACACAAAACATATACGTATGTGTATAAAAGTGCCATTTTGCCAAACGTGGTAACTGTGGTAAATCATCCCGATAATGGCCACCGGTCAAGATATTTTTAAGTGTGACAATTGATGATTGATGATGTGATGATGCTGCACGAATAAGTATTCAGTAGCATTCTAATATTTAATTTTATCAGTTACTTATCATTAGTTTATTTAGGAGAAAGTAGAGGGCGCTATATTACATTAATACTATGAAAGTCAAAACTATACTATCTAGTAATATCGGCTATAGAAGGTTGGGGTGAGACTGGCTCAAGAGCCACCCCAAAGCCGGGAACATTTATTTATTATATAAAAAAGGTATAAAGTGATGTTGATTCTGTAAACAAAACTGTTTCTGTTAAAAACGCGCTATCAGCGCCGCTAACGGTGAAAAACTATTTGATGATATGACCATATTATCATTAAATAGCAATGCTGTGTTTAGTTATTAATATCGTTAAACGATCTCTATTCATTGACTTGGCTAAGCTATATCATGACATTGTCAACAAACAGTGATAAATATCATGAAATGACACCATTTTACGAAATAATGATTTAATGAGAATTTTGCAATAATTGTAGGCAGACCAGTTTTAATCAGTTTAAATACAGATACAGCATTAAACGTGTGAAAATTGATATGTTGTACTACCAACTTTTGAACTATCAAAAAAATATCAATTTTCCTACGTTTGATAGATATCACTATTATCTATTATTTTTAGTGTCCGACTGAAACAGGATTTCAACTGAAACCGAAACCGAAAACGAACCTTCGGTCTGGGCGTCAGTTTCGACCGAAACCGAAACCGAAATTTATTTAGACATGTAAATTTTTTATTGTTTACTCAAATCTGGTATATTTTTATACATATGAGTGTTTCTCTATTAATTAGAAATTAGCCTATATAAAACTGTCCCAAGCATTTTGTTGTTAAATATTTAAGTTCTTCTTAATAACTGGCTTTACGGCTCCGGGATCTAGCCCTTCTGAGCCTGAAGTTACAATATTATATTATAATAATTATTCTTCATAGTATACTGCTTCACAATATGTTGATGCGTCACATTGTGCAGCCCTTGGGAGATTTTGACAGTAACTTGAGTCAGCAGACAGCTGACATTTGGCGATGGTATCTCAAGGCGCCTAAGCAGACAGGCACCTTATTTTGAGAATCACATCACTATCAGAGCACTTGTTTCACAGTTTCCACTAATAGTTCACATGTGCAGACACTTAATACACAAAATCGCACCACTTTTACATATCAAAGTACACTTCAAACCATTATTTAAACAATAATACAGGAGCAGCAATCCGCCGCGGTCAAGTTCCCGCCAAAACTCTTAAATATTTAAAAAATATGTAAATACAATGAAATGCATTAATAAATTAAATATGCGTTTAGAAAAATTCACACATTATAGTCTTAATTTGTGAGTTATGGCCAATTTTATGAAAAATTACGGCGATTATTGTTATATAATCCAGGGGAATGCATAAACGAAAGAAAAAAAAACATAATTAATTCCATTGAATATAAAGCCTTTGTTTTTATTCATTACTTTCACAATATTGTATGAACAAATAAATCAACAAAAACTGAACAAATGAAACAAACTATAAATAATTTTCTTAACTCTATTGAACATAAGGAAGCTTTTCCACTAGAGATGTGCTACGCTACGTTGCTATGAATGCGTTTGATATCCACCAATCATATTCATTGGTCCGTATAACTTAATACTGATTGAAACAGGTTTAACTAAGCTGTTTTTATATGGTGATGGTCGAGAGTGGTGTAACTATGTGCAGAGCAAAGCTCCCCCCGCCTTCCCTACTGTTGAGACATCGCATAGCTTGAGCTGCGCATCTTCCTCGCACAGCTACAACGCGGCGGTGCATCTTCATAGCACATCTTACTCGCTCCGCTACATAGCTTAGCTTTCACGTCCTCGCAACATAGATGCATAGCACATCTCTGGTGAAAAAGCACCCTAAATCTTTTCAAAATCAACTTCTCTTCTTAATAGAAGTAGGTAATATCTCATCACACTTTCAAAAACAAAAACAACATTACGTTGCCATCTTATCTCACAATAAACATTTTGACATGACATTAGATAGTAATTTAAAATATTTAACTTCTAATAATATCTAGTTATAAATATTATTTGCAGCTTAAAACAAAATCAGTCTGACCATTGCACTTTAGGAAATAATCAAAATTAACTTATTTTTCAAACTCCTCTTCTTTATAAGCTTGGCAGCGCCGGGCGGTGATCCCAATGGGCATCATGATACCCTTAAATTGATATATTTTGAGGGCACCACTGAAAGTTTTCAAATAAGTGACGTCTTTTTGTATATTGTCGGTTATTTCTTGAATGGTCTCATTGTTAATCGTAAACATTGAGTTTCTATGGTATCTTTGTTCCATATAATATTCCAAACTATCAATGTCACCTCCTACAGCAACGACAGCATCTGCAGTTCTCTTGCATGTAGCGCCAACACCATCAGCAGCACTCTTGCTTTCTTCACTTTCTGAGAAGTTTCCGAAAAACTTTTCTATACTTGGGACCTCTAAATGAAGCCTTGATGCCAAAATATAAAACAATGTTAAAACAACACATAAAATGGCGTCAGCCCGCTTAGCTCTGCAACTGCACTAACTTCACACCGATTGCTTTCTTTTTCACGATATAAATTACCTCGCCAATGTATAGTGTGATTTTAGCGTAATTTTCAAATTGTGACAGGGTACTGTTCCAAAAAATTGAAGACAGCATTTATTTACTGTTTTTTTTTTTAAATTAAATTGTTACTTTAAAATGTGATTGTGTTTTTTATAGATGCGTGCTGTATCCTAGTATTATTTATT